GTATTATCTCCATATAGTCATTTTATCTGTACCATATTTTTCAATTTTTGTGCGAAAATCCAAACTTATTGTCTTGATTATTATTTCCTTAGCTTGTTATCATTTCCTATTTGAATTGTGATTAGTTTATCGGTACTTCCGACTTTAATAACATAACTTATAAACATTAGTGAGATTATAATCTATGGATGACTTTTCAGCAAAGCTAAAGTGACTTTGACAGTGTTCACTTAATAACTAGAACAAAATGAGGGTTATACATCAATGTGAAGAATTACACTTATGATTTACAACTGATGATTAAGGTTAGGAATTACATTTAAGGTTTTCATCACCAACTGGCATTAATTATAATGCCAAAACTTCATTTAGCCAAATGGACGAACTCATTTCGCATCAAAATCCAAGACCTGTTATCTTATACTTGATTGAGTCGTCTATAAATTATTAGTTTCGCCTAAACATTTTATTTATCTCTTAGATTTTCACTGATCACTTCACTACTAGACTTATAACATCATTATTATACTTCTTATTTAGTATTGTACTGTATAATGAATAGAACAAAGTAGTTTCTTATTAACAAATTGTTGTTTAATAGTATTTTCTAAATTGACAAATGAACACAATGAATCATTCTCTATTAGGTTAAAATATTTATGAAATTGTAGATTTTTCTCTACCTTTTTGTTGTTGTTGTTGTTGTTTTTGTTGTTGTGTATCTCGTCTCTATTTTGTTGTGTTTTTCTCTTCACAAAAATGATCAAGTGGCAATTGCTTGTCTTATCCTCTTTCTTTGTTTTTTTTAAAAAAAAATTTCCCTTATCAATAAGAGAATGATAAAACAAAACAAAAAACAAACGAGATAAAGATACTCAAATAATCACTTTTATTTATTCATTTGGTCTTATCGTCATCATTATTGTTGTTAGTTTGAATGTAAATCTTCTTATCTCATTATTGTGTTATTCATTTCAAATCATTTACAATGAACAATTAAAAAAGAGAATAAAACAGAACAAAAAATTAAATATAAAACATTGTTCAATGGATTAATAAGTTTTTAGTGTGTCACCGGTTTTTTCCTCTTCTTTTAATTCTTCTTCTTCTTCTTCTTCTTCTTCTTTTTCTTTTTGTCGTTATAATGTGACCTCATTTCAATTTTATCAATCATAAGAAGTTGTGCTACTCAATTGAAAATATAGAAGAATGATAATGAGTAATATGTGTTTGTTTTGTTTTTTCTCAATTCAAAATATTTTATATTATTTTCATTGTAAAACTTAAGAATAGAATACACAATAAACTTGGTACAAATTATTATTTACTCATTTACTCACTTACTAACTTATTTGCTTACTTACTTACTTTACTTTACTTTACTTTACTTACTTACTTACTTACTTACTTACCCCTGATACTCCTAATAGAGCATAGGCCGCCGACCAGCATAAGTAAGTAAATAATAGTCTGTAGTTTAAGAAGAGAAAAATACACAGGATAACATGGTGTTAGGAAAGAAGTTGGTTATCATTTATTAAAATAAAGTTATTTATATACAAGTGAATAACTCAGTATTTCTAATTGATTGATCACTAGGTGGTGGTCAATGTTATGTACGTCGGGTTCTTCTTAATGCAGACCTTTTTATTTATTTATTTGGTTATATAAAGATTGATACAAAGGGGCACCGGATATCTATGCACCATACAAATCACTTGATTTGTGTGTGGCCTGTGATACTGCTCAGGTGCTTAGACCGAAGCACGTGGTTTACTTAGGGGGCCACACCCGCAACCTTTGACCTAAAGGTCTAACCTACAAGGCAGTAGAGCAACCTAAGGAGGTGCAGTCCCATGGTAGCCGGTGACCAACAATTGGTTCATACGCCATCTGTTCCCTCAGGATCCCAGAGCCTCTGTGTACCACTGGTTTGGAATGAGGGTCTTCGGACTGCCCTATGTGGATCCTCCATATTCACTAACGAGGTTAAGGCGCCGGTCATTCGCTGTTCTCCCTCTTAATTTCGTGAACAATAGTAACCCAGCGAGAAGGTTGTGAGTAGGACTTCCCTGGCAGTGGCTGTATACGCGTGGCTGTGTGAAAGCATTTGGCGATAGAGAGCTGACTCTCCCCACCCTCGGCTGTACCAGGGCATTTTGGGGCATAATGGTGCAGATCGAATCTTATCGACGAAGTTGCGATGTGGCGACCAGTCTAGGTGACTCGATCGTCAATATGTGGGAACTGAAATTGATGACATTGATCACCACTCAGTAATTAAGAAGTCAGTCATGACCTAAATAGCTTGTCGATAATGTCTGAGACTGTGAAGTTGTGTGACACCGGTTCAACTTTATTAGAAGCATCACTTTGTTTAAGATTACAGGTACGTCTTTGTGACAAGTCCCAGCTACTAAAAAGGCTAGGTTCAGAGTTTTCTACCAACTGATTTTAACTACCTAACATATATAATTATTTTAGTACTGTGTATGACAGTACAAGGTAAAGGTCATCTGTGTCATATAATAATAATAATAATAATAATAATTATTATTATTATTATTATTATTATTATTATTATTGTTATAGATTTATGACTAACCATATATAGTACAGACTGTTCAACATGATATCATTTGAAGCACAACAGAAAAAAACCTTCAGTGGGTAAAAAAAGTATATCACTATTGTAAGTTCAACAATGATAAGCCTTTTCTATGAACTGACTAGAGAATGAAAATCAATGAATGAGGAATTTGTGATCTAAAAATCTTCGTTCCAGTTACGAGAATTCAACGTTCAAGTTTTGAACTCATGAATTATCGTGGGTGCATAGTGATAAGATACTCCATACAACGATAAAATGTCTTTCCAAAGCTTTAAAAATTGGAGTAAAACATCTTAGATTGATAGGTGGAATCTAGTTTATACTGATATGTGCCCGTTTGTGAGATAACCTGAACTTCGAAAAAACATTCATTCAGGGTTTCTCTGAACGTTTTCTCTAGTGGAATAATTTTATACATTTCGGTAAACTGTCAAAAAATAACATAAATTTATTCAGAGAAGAAATGAACTATGGTTAACACTGAAAGGTACGGTGTCAGTTTTGTCTTACTTGTGACTTGTTAGCACAAAACCGCTTACAAAATAGAATAAATTAATTGCGTTGTAAGCACATACAAAAGATTCACAGATAATATGATATATTCTAATCAAAGTAAAGCCGACACCACAGTTTTTAGGAAATTCACATCTAACGATCGATTAAAATTGGTTTTTACTTGTTTGTGGTTGAAATGGTTTGTGTTCATTACATTGTGCAATTTTGTAATTCATTCATATCTTATTAGAGTACTCTTCATTCTTGATTATCTATTTCAAGTTTCAGATCAGTCATTCTACTGTTAACTCTGTATTTTTACTAAAGATTTTCTGAAGTTGTGGATTTGATCACATTTTTGAAGTTAGATATTATTATGAATTCTTAATAACACAATCCTAGTATCATTCTATATGACTAATCGTCAACGACCTAATTCTGACATGGCTGAACTCCACCAGTCACGACTTATATGAATTTTGGGAATTCATGCTAAAGTCAGTACCTGAATTATTCAAACGACGGAGCCTCCAGAGGCCCTATAGGAGCCGAAGAGTTTCCACCCAATCAGAGCGTGATGGAACTTTCCAGAATATCAACGTGGTATGGTACTATTGGATAGTAGCATAACATACCTCTTTTGCGGACTGTCTGGATTATAATGTTGATATAACAAACGCTTATACCTATAAATGCCCATGATTTTCTGTACATTTTGATTCTTACCCAATAAGCACTTCTTCAGTCTTCTTTTGTCTTCTAATTTGCGACTTTGGGGTTCTATAGGTTCGAGTGCCGTAGTTGTATACCGTATTCTGCGTTAATCAGGTAGCGAACATAGCACAAACCATAAGTGAAGAAATTATAGGTATGAATTTCTGTCCGTCATTCAGTATAATATTTCAATGTTCAATATCTAACATAATAAGTTGAGTAAGAAAGATCAAGATTTCCCCACTGAAACCACAAATAACCATGAATATGGTTATCCCTAACGTTTTCAATGTTTATTAATTATATTATATCCAACAGTTTTTGTCATTTTCCGTTCATTCGGCGGATGAGTTTTGTATGCTGTAAATATATTTTTACCAACAATTTCATTTCATGTAATTGAAGCTATCTGCTATGAACATGTTGGTGTCCTGGATGAAAAATATAAATATATTGAAAGTCATGGATTGAAATAGAATCTTCAATGAAATTTTCATTCCAAGATGATGCGCTCACCTAATAAATTAACAGAAAAATGAATAAAGCATAATTCTTAAACACTGGAAACGTGATAAACCTTTGACCACAACGACTAACTTCAACTATGAACTACACAAATGACTCATTAATTACGTTGGTTTTTCAAATGTACATGTCATACTGTATCAACAACTGTCAATTATATGGTAATATCACCTTATAAAAAGGTATTATTTGTCCATGAAATTTTGTAATATTCTGTTGTTGATAGGAAAGTTTGAATTCTGAACAATTTTTGTCAACATACACCAAAACGTATAATATGTAGATAAGATCAAGACATCCACCAACGAAACACGTTGATACGACTAGATATCGTTTTCCTAACCAAATCCTAGTTCCTAAAAGCTTTCAACTCTAGAATCTTCAACAGAAAACAAAGAGTGAAGTGAGAGTTTTGCTTCAAAGATAAAGTTATGTAGAAAAAAAACAAGGATAGTTTTAGGAACCTAAGTGACTGAAAGATCCTGGAAACTTCTTGAAACACATAACCAGAATAACGAATACATATATATACATTCTATCTAGATTATTGTATCACTTACTCAGGTCAAAATCAGCTGTAACACTTAAACCAATCAATTGGTCAATCAAAATATATTGTCTCTTTTATTTTTGATTGATTAACCATATTGTAGTAATGAAAAGACTATCAATCATTCATTGTTTACAAGTAAGATGTTTATCTATGATTGTTGAAGAGAAGGTTTGTCAAATTAAATTAAATGATACTGATCGGTTAGTTAGTTAGTTAATTAGTTGGATTTATAGACTGATATATTTTCTTTTCTAGATCCATTTGTATAGTTAACCACATGTTAATTAAATTAATATTTTGATTTTAACCCAGGAATTGATTTATTTGTAGGTATTTATCTTATTTGAAAGACGTCAATAGTGAATGGATATTATACTTTTAATATTCTGCTATGGAACAGTTTATCAATGAAGTCAGTTCAGTCTAAACAACTAAGTTATAAGTTCAGATCCTACGAAATTAAGCAACGGATGTAGTATCCCTAGCTTTCATACAAACGATTGTTTAGGGGTAATATTCCAGTACATGATCTACTATCATTCTTAGTGTTAGATGGATAGTGATGGTTGACAAAAAAGAAATAATGACTTACAGTTCGTGACACTGAAGAATTGTCAGAAAGATTTATATAGTTAGGAATGAACTAGTGCTGTTAGATGGATTTTTTCCTGCGTTACCCAACTCTATAGTCTGAGACACTACCACTGAGTTATCAGTGCAGTGTCATGTAATATTACAATTAAAAAGGGGATTGAATTCACCAGCAGTCATACCATAACTTAACATCACAACTTCATTGAAGCCTAATTAGAAATAGTAGATGCCCTAAATTCATGTGAAAAACAAATTTGTAGTTTTTATGTCATTAATTATGTTTCACTAACAGTTACATAGATCCATAAATATGGAATCTACACACTACACGATATAAAATATACGCCATCGAATACTTAATTCTCCTCCGTTTATAATTCGGTTTGATGAGTAGTGTGCTTCAGAAATAATATTCCCTATCACTTTTTATTTCAACTTCACTGAGTTTTACACTATCGAATATCGTCGTGACAAAAGCAGTCGCTCAATTTCGTGGATTAGTTGAAGTTAGACATTAACACCGTTGGATGCCGGCCGGCTCAGTAATCTAATGGTTAAGCGCTCGCACGCGAGACTGGTAGATCCTGGATTTGAATCTCACGAGGCAGGATCGCGGATGCGCACTGCTGAGGAGCCCCACAATAGAATGAAACGGCTGTCCAATGCTTCCAGATTTTCCATGGTGGTCTAGCTTCAATTGACTCATGAATTCAACTGTTAAAATTACTATAATATCCACAAAACCCCTTTTGAGATTATGAATACGAAGATTCTTAGGATAGCTATTTAGGTTGCCATTTATAGTTCAACTCAAACCTGGTCCATTTTGTTTCGGACGGGTCACCTAATGACCTACTAAATTCATGTAGTAGGTAGATCCAGATAATGAGTCAAAAATAAAATAAAACGAGTATTTTAAAATCAATTTCTAGCCACAACCATGGTATAGAAAGTTACTACTGACTTGCAAATATGCATTTCACTGGATTCTAACTGACGCAATGATCTAAACCCATTATTACCTAAACACGAGGCTTGAAAACTTTCAGTTCGGTAGGGAAATAATTCGCATTACAAAAAATGCGATATATTCCACAACTGATCACTTCGATAACTGATTTATTACTATATTTTAAAATAAGCCAACATAATATAAATCAGGGTTGATGATGAACATTCCAAATGTAATAGAACAATGAAAACTTCAGAATCATACAATACCCATTTAAGTACATTGTATAGTAATAATAAATAGCACTATTACTTACTTACTTACGCCTGTTACTCCCAACGGAGCATATGCCGCCGACCAGCATTCTCCATCCCACTCTGTCCTGGGCCTTCTTTTCTAGTTTCATCCAATTCTTGTTCACTTTTCTCATGTCTATTTCCATTTCCCGGCGTAATGTGTTCTTTGGTCTTCCTCTCCTCCTTTGGACTTGAGGATCCCATGTGAGGGTTTGCCTTGTGACACTGTTGGGTGCTTTCCTCAATGTGTGTCCTATCCGCTTCCAGCGCTTCTTCCTGATTTCTTCCTCCATTGGGATCTGGTTTGTTCTCCCACAATAGATTGTTGCTGATAGTCTCTGGCCAACGGATCTGCAGTATTTTGCGTAAACAACTGTCAATAAACACCTGTATTTTCTGGATGATGGGTTTTGTAGTTCTCCAGGTTTCTGCACCATACAGTAGAACTGTCTTGACATTTGTATTGAAAATCCTGACCTTGGTGTTGGTTGACAGTTGCTTTGAGTTCCAGATGTTCTTCAGTTGTAGATATCCTGCTCTTGCTTTACCGATCCATGCCTTGACATTTGCATCGGATCCACCGTGTATTCAATGATACTGCCCAGATATGTAGAGGATTTTACGTCTTCCAAATCTTCTCCGTCAATTGTGATTTGATTGTTGCATGCCGTTTTGTGTTGGAGAATCTTGCTTTACCCTTTGTGTATGTTGAAATCTACTGCTGCTGAAGCTGCTGCCACACTGTTCGTCTTCTTCTGCATCTGTTGTTGCGTTTGGGATAGAAGAGCCAGATCACTTGTGAAGTCTAGATCGTCCAACTGTATCCTAGATGCCCATTGTATCCCGTGCTTCCCTTCAGATGTTGACGTCTTTATGATCCAGTCGATCACCAGGAGAAAGAGAAAGGGTGAGAGTAAGCAACCTTGCCTAACACTAGTCTTCACTTCAAACGACTTTGTCAACTGTCCTCCATGCACGACTTTGCAGTGTAATCCATCATATGAATTCTGTATGATATTGACTATCTTCTGAGGCACGCCGTAGTGTCGAAGAAGTTTCCATAGTGTTGTCCTATTCACGCTATCAAATGCTTTCTCGTAGTCAATGAAATTGATGTAGAGTGATGAATTCCATTCAATTGATTGTTCCACAATTATCCGTAGAGTTGCGATTTGGTTTGTACACGATCTATCCTTACGGAAAATAGCACTATGCTGATAATAATATTGAGAGTTATTACCAACCCTCAATATCTAAATACAGGTTGATGTTATAATAAAAGAACAAAGTTTATACGAATATTCGTCAAGATTAGTACGAATAGATTGACAGAAATTGGGCGCCGAGTAAAGAGAATTCCTTATATGTGAAAATTATATTTGAAATTATCTCAGATATTGAAATTTAAATAATTCCAATGTTTCGTCCAGCTTCCTTGTCAGGAATTCTTTAGGGTAATAATCAAAATCATCAAAGAAAAATAAAGCTTTTAACAAACAAAGTTCTTTTTTGTAAATCGAAAAAAATGTTCAGGAAAACTGATGGAAAACTGTCACCATCATCAGTCCTCTGATTGATCAGAAATGTTCTAGGTTAACATATCATTCAAAAGAAGTGAGTGAATGGTAATCAGGGGTACGAAACATACACTTCAACCATCTCAATCGATAAAGAATCGCTGCAATTTCATCATCATCATCATCATCATCATCATCATCATCATCATCATCATCATCATCATCATCATCATCATCATCATCATCATCATCATCATCATCATCATCATCATCATCATCATCATCATCATCATCATCATCATCATCATCATCATCATCATCATCATCATCATTATCACTACCATTACCTTTATTTACACAATGTCATTGGTGTTTTGTTTCATGTTCATATGAGGAAGTGATTTCATATTAAATTTCTTTTTTGAAGTATATAGGTTAAAAGTTCATTAACTGATGTTATCTCTGTTTTTTCTTTTCTATCATTGATAATATATAATAATAAGTAGGATATATGAATAGATACATAGATACATTAAATGGTAAATAGACATTGAAGAAGAATAAAAACATTCTATTGGCACCTTAAGGCAATTTTAAAATATTTTAAAAGATGACACTCATCTTATTCAATAACATATGTTTGATTATAATCAACGATTCTCAGCACAAGTTATATTCAACATTGTAATAACACTTCCTGATTGATAAACATTTAAACTGTGAATAATATTAATAATAATAATAGAATACATGTGTATAACATTATCTAAACAGTAGTTATCTGTCATCTATGAACGTTTACAATAAGGCTTGTTTTTATAATCTTTCTTTCTATTTGTAAGCAATGATCGATAGTGGCTAGCAGTGGAATCCCGGACGCGCGTCTCGTCCTATTTGGAGCTTATCAGCTGGATGTACCTGCATCCCAGTGTTGATGTTCACTCCGGGACTCGAACCCAGTACCATTCGCCTCAAACGCTATCGCGTTATCCACTCAGCTACTGAGTCCTGATAGCCACTTGCTTGTGCAATGGGGTGAATTTGAATTCACTGCAACTGATCAGTCTGTTTTTGGCATATGTGCATACTGTGCGTATGCCTCTATATTACCTTAATTCACAAGCTATTTGTAAGCAATGATGGATAGTGGCTAGCATACGCACAGTATGCACATATGCCAATAACAGACTGATCAACTGCAGTGTTAAACCTCTATGGGAAGATACAAGTCAAACAATCCCAAGTGACTTTCTTTCTATTGTTAATACACTTAATTTACGAATTTATTAATAGTTACTTATTATTGTTCAAAGTGATAGAGGAAGTTAGACGTATTTAAATCATTTGAATAGTACTTCTTAAGTTTCTTTACAATTTGATTAATGATATGCTGTATATATACTCTCCATATTACTCCGACAAGGGCTCAATGTATTTATTGGTTCATCGTGGAAGTCTTAAAACTATCAAGTGGTTGTAGGTGATCATCAGGATTTCTTATTGATCAAGGCTTCATGTTAGATGGTCTTCGTCAGTAAAAAGCGCCTGTAATTTGTTTAACGGAAAGTGATACATAACAACTAGTATAAGATATAATAAGTAATATTGTCAGAGAATATACATCTATGTGATGTATAAACTTTGATTAGTACTCAGGAATGAATGTGATTAGATAAAAATCGTTCATATTTTGGCCGTCAACTATTTTGTCTTTTTGATACCCATTCACTGGAGTATAGGATAAATGACTCAACTTTGTGAATGACAATAACTTGGTCATAATCATGTCTCACAATCTATTGCTCAATCAGTGCACAGCTTCAAACAATTTATATCCGTGTTATGGCCCGTTTGAATATCTGGGCTAATTGATCCTACCATCTGGATATTTCAACATGCCATCTGTTTTCTTGTTTGCTTAAACACAACATTATGCCCATTATTCTCATAACCTATTCAGGTGTGTTTGTGAAAAGTTTACGACATTTTGCTATACAAGTTAAAAAAGAGCACAATCAAAGACGTCGTGATTGCTGGCTATGTTCATCGAGAAGAACGTACATTAATCAGTTATTGATACCCAAACTGCTAATATCTAACTGGTTGCCACTCAATATTTATCGCAAGGATCGATTAAGAAATAAGAAAGGGAAACTTGTTTAATTAGTTTGTGCTGTGAATTCTATATTGTACCAAAAATATAATATTGAATAAAGCCAATAATAAAAAAATTAAGTATAGAGCTTTTCTTGTCATTCTGTATGTTATCTACTGAATTTACTTGATTGATAAATTATTTTCCAGTTACTATACAAATGTGTTGATGGCCTTGATTATGATTAATTGTCTGATGTAACCCTTGTGGAATAACTGAAAACTTGGCTTATACATAATATCGATGCTGAATCTATTGTCTAGAATGACAATGACTGATGATCTGCAATAAAAGTCACTTAACTTTGAGAACACAATGCAGCCAAAATCATCTAAATGACCATCATCATAATACCACTCGATTTAGTTATATATTTAGACAATATGTTTTTTCAGTAGTTGAGATCATGTTACAGCCAAGCATGTCATCTTAACAGTTGAGATCATGAGTCACCGGAAGCTAGACCACCATGAAAAACCTGGAAGCACTGGACTGCCGTCTCGTCCTAGTGTGGGACTCCTCAGCAGTGTGCATCCGTGATCCCGCCCCCCGCGAGATTCGAACCCATGGTGATCTAGCTTCAATTGACTCATGATTTCAACTATTGAAATTACTAAAATCTCCACGAAACCCCTTCTGATATGTTTTTTTCTACAAATCTTCAGAGCAGAATATTATATCAATTTTATTAAGCGAACTTTCTTAAATAATTTGTAAAAAATCTTACTTTAGAGAAACGATGTTGTATATATTTGTCGATCGGACTTGGTTGTTGACTGAAAAATTATTTTAAATTTTTTCTAATTATAAATATAAAATTATCAGTTTAAGGTTGTAGCGATTGTTGGGCTTAGATTGATATTATGGATGAATGGATTTCAGGCCACCACTGAAGACCTAGAAGAACCGGACGGCCGTCTCATTCTAGTATGGGACATCTAGTATGGGCACATCCACGATCCTGAACACGACACTCGAACCCAGGGACTTTGACCTCGCGCACGAACTCTTAATCTCTAGACCACTAAGCCTGCATCCAGCGGTGTTAATGTCTAACTTCAACCAATCCATGATATTGCGCGCCCATCTACCACTGTCATCAGCGAGTAACTGCCTCACAACAGACACAGTTGAAAGTTCTTGATAACCCATATTAAACGATTACTAACCAGAACTCATAACTCCATATTTTAATTTTAACACAGCCTTAAATCCTACTTATAACATGTAATCCAAAATACTATTCCACCTTCATACTCAAATTTTAAACCTTAGCCCTAAATCCATATCTTAATTCCAAAGTTTTATCCTTATCTATTTTTTGGGTTTTTATATGATGAATTGAGTGAGTCTTGATTGCTCATAGATAAGCTTTATTTTCTCAAGGACACTAGAAGAGTTTAGTAAAGTAAACTTTCAGCTCCATGGTTATCTAGCTGATTTCAGTCAAATAAAATGTAAATATTCTTGGTATCATTAATATTCACTTCCAGTACAACCAATAAACTTAATAATACTCCATTTTTATTAATTTCAGTAATGTACACCTGTACAAAACTAGCTAAAATAAGCTTAAAATATTATATTAGCTTTCCTCTGTAAATTATTTTGTTCAATTTACTTACTTACACCTGTTACTCTTCATGGAGGAGAATAAGCCGCCCATCAACATTCTCTATTCAACTCTGTCCTGTGAAATCCTTTCCAGTTGCTATTCATTCTATTAATATCTTCTTCCAATTCTTAATGCAATTTGTTGTTTGACCTTCCTCTTTTTCGTTTTCCTTTCAGGATTTCAAGTTAACATTCACTTCATGATTCAATCTAATGAATTCTTCAATAGTATGTTTTATCCACCACAAGTATCTATTTTGTTCAAACATGTATAAAATTGATGCATTTTCATGAACTACAGTATGTCAAATATATAGTGCGGGATCGTGGGTGCGCACTGCTGAGGAGTCCCATACTAGGACGAAACGGCCGTCCAGTGCTTCCAGGTTTTCAATGATGGTCTAGCTTCAATTGACTCATGATTTCAATCTGTGAAAAATATTGAAACATACAAAATCCCCCCCCCAGAAAAACAAAGAAATTTTTCTCATGTATTTTTCTTTTCTAGTTAATATATCGTAAAATCTCTTTAAAGAGTTTCATTGATTATTTTAACAAGAGACGTTAAACGTTTGATTATTCTTTCAAATAGATAGTAGGATATGAATTTCAATTTCTTTGGTTCATATTTTAAAAAAATAAGTTTTCTTTTTGAGGGAGTTTATCCTTGCAAAAAACTTAAGGCAAGGGAGCGATAGAGGGAGGCAAGGAGGGAGGGAGGGAGATAGAGCGAGACAGAGAGAGGGGTGGTAGAGAGAGAGAGAGAGGTATAGAGAGTTATTTTGTCAGTTTTTTTTCTTTTTGAATAAAAAAACGTTATTCATGCATAAAATATAATTCCCTTTTTGAAAAAACAAAAAATTTTTCAGTCTGATATTGTATTTATTAAAATTATGACAAATATCTAAGGCAAAAGATTTTAATAATTATGCAACAAAGAAATAATATTTAAACGGTATTGATTTCAGTGTGATAGTACGGACGTATATGTGAAGTATAAGAATTTACATTGACAAATTGTATCTGTAGTTTTAAATGGATAAGTGGTCTTTATCACGTTCAAAATATAATTTATTTGATGTTACAGTCAAGCATGTCATCTCAACAGTTGAGATCATGAGTCAATTGACGCTAGACCACCATGGAAAACCTGGAAGCAGTGGATGGCCGTTTCGTTCTATTGTGGGACTCCTCTTTGGCAGTGCGCATCCGCGATCTCACCTAGCGAGATTTAAACCTAGGATATCTCAGTCTCGCGTGCGAGCGCTTAACCAACTAGACCACTGAGCCTGAATCCAACGGTGTTAATGTCTAACTTCAACTAATCCACGAAACTGAGAGACACATCCATCATTGTCATTAGTGAGTTCTTATCTCACAACTGACCCGGTTATCAGTGATTTATTGGACTTTGGATTGATCTTTCATAAAATTGAAAGTTATTTACTTCATACATACTCTGAAGAGTCTCAATTTTATCTAGTGACCAAATGTTAAAGCTTTGATCATATTATTATTATTATGGTAAACATCAGTCTATTTGAGGGTGATAATTTACACAAGATTACAAATCCGTCAACTAAGGTGACATCAAAATCCAGGTTCAACTATGAACAACTTTCAACTGACTGATACGTAAAATA